AAATTTGTTCCTCTCCTACGACGTGACTGAATATGGTTCTTTCTATTCGCCTTTGTATATGTGCACCTTTAGATGTTTGTGTGTGTATGAATATGTTGATTGATGCTGATACGTTTAGAAAAGGTGGTAGTGAAGGAAAGGGAAGGAGTCGTGTTGTTTCACTTTTTTTTTGTTCTTTTCTAGGGCTCTATAGTTATCGTTGTTGTAGTGTTGTTGGTTGGATTGGTGGGGGGAATGGATAGGATCAGTTGGAAAAGCGCGGGTCAACGGAGTTGACGCAATCATTTTGCATAACTATCCCTGACCTTTTCTTTCATCATCTTCATCGTTTTTTTCTGCCACTCTCTAGTTTCCTGTTTTCTCATCCGGGGAAAGAAAAATGCGGCAGCGACAGCAATAGCAGTAGCACCGGGAAAAATAGTAGCAGCAGATAAGAAAGGAGAAGAATGAAAGAAAAAAACAGTACTAAGATCTTTCCATTCTTATGTAGCAACTAAGTGGTATGTAATAAAGTAGTTGGGATGTTTTTTCTTCGTTTTGGTTTCCTAAAATTCTTAATTGTCCTAAAATTGCTTCTTTTTCTTTTTTCACTTTGAAACTTCAGAAAGCATTTGATTGCTTATCTGTTCACTGTCAAATTATTGTTTATGGAATAAATAAAAGTTATGGAATGAAATGTGGGGGGAAGAACAAATCGTTTTAGTTTTCTGGGGAACAAAGGCTGTTATCAGAGATAAAAATATACAAATTCGGGTACGTTAATGAACCTCTGTGGAGGTTGAATTTTTACCGGAACTTTTGTTTGACTAACTTTTGAAATAAGGGGAAGAAATATTTGCTAATTTTGTGGAAAAGGCTTTCTGTTCAAATTTTTTTCAGCTTTAAGCTTTGCTGCTTTTTTTTCTTTTTTTGTGGTTATGAAGCGGGTGGTTTAGTCTTTGAAAGCACAGGATTTCTTGTTGATTTGCAAAACGTGCTGAAAAACATTGAAACAGTTTTTGGCGTAAGCTTTTCTTTGTACTTTTCTCATTCCTACCTTATCTCTATTATCTTCAGTGATCAGATAAGTCGATTTTACTGCTTTTTTCACTTTTTAATTCCTAAACTTTTGCTTTTTCATTTTCTTTCTGTTAAAAACTATTCTGTTCTAGGGATTTATTGAAGAAGGAGACTTTGAATTCTTTTGTTTTAGTTTTGATTTTGATTTTAATTGTGAAGTTCTTTTTGTTATTTCTTAGTATTAGCAGTGGGCAAATGAATCTCGCTGTTGTAGTTGCACTGATGGAATTTTTGAAGAGATTACCTTGGAGTAGAGGCAGCTTTGTCGTGTCTTTTGAACAGGAAGTACGTTGAGACAAAGCATTTAACAGAATTGGTCTAGGGATGATTAATTTTTGAGTATAACCGATTTTACACTTGGTTGTTGAAATTTTGGCATGCGAAATGCAATGGCTTTCCTTTCTTAGTTGACTATGACACCTTAGATGAACTTTACCTTTTTTGTAGGCAGCTACATTCACATTTCTCTCATTTCTTTTACCGTCAGTTTTTTATTCGTTTTTATACCGAAAATCGTTCAAAATGATTTTAAAAGAGGATTAGTGTTGTTTCAAAAAAAAAAAAAA